TCACTCTCTCTTCCTTAGAAAATAGCGGTAGCTCCCTTTTGTTACTCTAATATTTTCTTCACATCTGATTTCACAAAGGGGTGCTATCAATTAATATTTGTTACCCATCGATTTCTGAAAATCAGATCCCGATGGAGAGGAGGAATGAGCGTTGAATATAATTTTACTTCATTATCTTAAATATTATTATTTTAATTTTATTTATTTCAAATAAATGAAATTATGTTATGCAACGCATATTGGGATGATGGATCTAACAATCTGTACGGAAGAGACCTAATAAAAGCTATAATTGACACAACACAAGATATGACTACTACATTTAGTAAAATTCATTCATCATAATACATTTAATTCCTTAGGTAATATATTTAATTTACATCTATTTATTATATTAAAATCTTGATCTGGAGTTAAAATTGTTGCGGCGGCTCATCAACGACGATTCCACGCCTGTTTCAAAAGAATATGCAATTCTAGATTTCAAATATGAGAACGAGTGTACTTGTCAAATGATGGTGCAAGTAGAAATTCGAGGAGGGATTGCCAGTAGAGATTTAGGAAATTTAACCATTTTACAAGAGTACGTAAATGACAATTTGCCAGTAGTTGGTCGTCCATGGATAAGATGCTATCTATTAATTCCATGTTCCCAGGAAACACTTGGTATCTCTTTCTTGTGAATATCCCCAAATGGAAATTTCAAATATACGACTGTAGCCACAACGTTCATACGCCGAACAAGTCAGGGTACATTCGAATGCAATAGTCGATTTAACTCAATCATTATTAATGGCTCCAGAATTTTCTACCTACAAAAACTATATAAGGAAAAACACAAACAGATTAATGGAGTTAGACATCATATCATATCTACCTTGTGTAAATAATGGGTGAGTGTTTAAACTATTTATTGTTTACTATAATATTTCGTTCTCTACTTAATTTAATTTTACATTTATGATACTAATTTAATTTAACGTAAAACTATTTCTTCTGTAGGCCAAATTGTGGAATTTTTTTGCTCAAATACATAGGATGCTTCATTCTAGGATATCCAATAGAATCAGTTTCTGCAGACATGATAATTTTATACAGACGAAAGATTATAGTTGATATTTGTTTTAATGAATACTTTCTATGTCCTCATTGTTCCTGATACTACTGAATAATCATATTTGTGTAAAAAAATGATGACATTCAATTCATACTCAACAACACGGCTGAAGGAAATCATTTACTTACAAACACAAAGGTACATATAAATCAATTATCTTTATTCTTACGCACATGTTAAATGTTCACATTTTAAACTACATTTCCAATTATGATTTTTTATTTAATATACCATTTAATAATTATCTTAATAAATTGCTATTTGTAATTTCACTCTTAAAATTTCTGTAATAATCACTTCAACAACTGAAAATGCTTTACATTTATTTTATTTTCACGTCTATATATTTTTCTATTTCTTAAAGACAATGTACAAGAAGAATCCCTCTCGGAGTTTGAGCCCAAGATCGAGGACCTCAAGACCAAGATCACTTCCCTAGAACTTTATTTTTCACTTTTCTTTTCCCTTTTCCTCGAAGAGCTGCCCAAAACTATTAATTATTGGGTTTCATAAACAGAGACTAAACCTTTCTTGCAAGATCTGTTCGAAGAAGCTAAAACTCGAAATAATAATTGAAACAATGTATTTTCGTTAATAAATTTCAATTTGTTTATTATAAATAAATGCATAATTTGCCAGTAACTCGCTTAAATTCTCAACTTCTTTGAATTTTTGAGGTAGAATTTTCCTTTATACGGCAGAATGAAACAGAAGCCTTAAATACAATACTGATGTAAAGACTAAAATTAGATACCTAAAGCCTGAAGGTACTTTTCTTCTCTCTTACTTATAAAATATATTTTTATATTGATCCAAATTGTAAATAAGTGAAATGTTGAACGTGCATATTAATATTTTGTACAAATTTGATCTTGAAGTAAGCTAACACACTTCAAATGGAAGTTGTTCAAATGGAATGAGTTGCTTAATATTGTTTCCATTCGAAATTGTTGAAATGGAAAGAGTTGCTTCGTTTTTCTGTGTTTGTCTGCGTTTAGTTTTATAGGGCTGAAATATTGTGAAGTTATTGAAGATGGTGGTAAACTGAAATAGTCAATTGAGCCTCAAAACCGGTTACTCGTGAAGGAGAGAGAATGTCGCACCAAATTTTGTTGTGTTGGCGTGATCTCAAAACAAGGTAAACCATCAGGCTTTGATTTTCCACATTTGTTAGCCTATATCTTCCACAACTAGTCTCTCGTGTTTAATTGTATGTAGCATTATCATGAGCAAGAAAAATTATCTCAATTAAAGTATTACTGAAACCCATACACACAGACCATTTACACAACACATGTATTTGTGCAGCTTCCTCATATAATTGTAGAAATTTCATTTTAGTTTTAGAGAGTCTAAAATTTATTTGCCTTCTATTATGTAAAAATTTGTTGTACCCTCATTTTGTATAGCTATAAATATTTTTGAAGAACACTTTACAGTCAACTACCTCGTTTCTTTCCTCTTATATTTTTCTATTTTTAAGCTAATTTTAGTATTTAATGTAACACGTTAGTAGGCACCCATAGTTCCAAGATAGAGCTGCTCATTTCTCTCCTTATTCACATATTCATTTGTGCATTCAGCTATATGATTATTGCATGTCATCTATTGTTTATTTATGCTATTTGTAAGTTGAATTTCGCTTAAATGCATTAGCATGAAGAATTGCATTTGATGACTCGGTTTTACAAGTTTTTTTTTTTTGTCTGAAATTGTGTTATTTCTTTCATTAGAGAGATTTTGAACTTTCTTAATTGCAGACAGGGAAGATAAATTTGAAGAATATTATGATTATATGTTTCTTTTTTTCCAAATGTTAAGTTTTTCTTTTTTATTCATCTGGTCTTTAATAAATAATTTGATTTATATATAATGACTGTAATGGGAAGACATTGACATGTATATGGATTAAATGTTCTATGATCGTGTATTATTATGTTAGACAAAAACTTAATGAACTTTCACAATAATTTAGTTTTCCATTAATATTTGATACACTAATAGTACCTTACAAATACCAAAGCGCGTACATTGTACGAGCATACATCTAGTTTAAGAAAAAGAGTCAAATATACACTAACATTACCTTAAAAATAGCAAAATCCGTACATTGTACGGGCATACAAATAATATATAAGAAAAGAAGACGAATTCACCAAGTTTACAGGCTTACTTGAGCTCAACTCACGTCACCTGGCCGAAATCTAAATTTTGACCTTTGAGCTCGTGGTGATGGATCGAGCTGTCCCACCAAGTCAGCAGACGATCGAGCCCATTGCCACCTCATGATTTTTGAAAAAAGTATCTCGAATCTGCTCAGATGCTGAAAAATGCCGCTACGATATCTAGTTGGATTCGATTAAACAAAACTTTTTTTAGGTTTCCTTGGATCTAATAAAACGAACACAACGTATATTATAAGCGTAACCTCTCCACCTCCTTGAGGTGTCGTATCTGTCTATAGTACATATAATTAATATTAGTATATAAAATACAGCTTAGAAAAATATATTTAAAATACACCTTGTGAACAGTATAATATATTACGGGTTAGAACATGCTTGACTACACACTTGAAACAAACGTCAAATTGATCGGCCAATGTATTACTCTTTATCTTATGTTGAACAACATTGTGCTTGTTAACGTCAAAATCTGATTGAGCTACTTAGTTGATAGAATGAGTCAAAACTGGATAAACTGTGCACTTGAACTATCGTCAAACTGCTCGACCACTGCCTTTACCTCGACCGGGGGAGTAGACAAAAGGGTCGTGAGATTTCATGGCCGGCAATATAGATTTTGGGCACTATTATTGTATTCAAATATTCTTATTAGCTCCAGGATCATGCATTCAGGGTACAGCCAAGGGAATGAAATCTATACAAGCAACACCATGAACGGTCCGCTAATGCATTTCCAGGATACAGCCAAGGGAAGTTAACCTTGTACAAACAACAACAGTACGAGATATTCGAGGAACTATACATGCAAGACCCAAACGGACAAAGGCCAACAGAGGTGTTACTAAAACAGAGAGTGTGTCGTAGAATTTTATGCTCAAACTAAGACCAAGTAGGATGTTTCGTTGAGACAATCTTGAATGTCACTAACATGACTTCATGCATCCAATTATGTTGATCAAACGCCCCAGAAGAGCCAGTATAGGTCCAGCGAGGCATTTTCTCTAATAGAATTTAAGAAAAAAAGAAATTTGAGGAAAGAAAAAATGTAGATCCAAACAGACATTAAGAACTGAATCGAGAAGTCAAGATAATGCCAATTCTGCAAAGTCATAATGAAAGTAATAAGCAACAACTCACATAAAGATTCTAAAACTCATATAATAGACATTGCTGGTGCCTATAGAAATCGAAAGCATGAATTGTCAAGTGGCTAAAGAAGAGAAAGAGACTTCATAAAAAATTTGTAACAACTTTAGACGACTTGACAAGTTAATAGGTTATGTTGACTCTAATGTCCATAGCCACTTGTGAAGGTCAAAGTCAGTACTTCAAACACCTAAAACATGTCTGAAGTAGCTTAAGAAGTCAATAGGTTTGGATCTTATATCCAAAGCTACTCGTGAAGTTCAAAGTCATTTCTTCGGATGCCCAACATGCTCGAGAATCTACTGATTCAATTTTAAACGTCCAAACTGATTCAAACATGCAAAACAAATCACGTCTCAAATTCTATAGAAGAACTTCATATCTAATACAAGGATCGATTATCTAAAGCAGTCTCTGATTTTAATATTCAAAACTACACTTGCTTGGAGAACAACATGGCAAGCATTTAAAAATAATGTACAAGTATATACAACCTTATGTCAGGATATTTCTTCGAAAAATAGAACTATAAGACTTTTCTAAAATCCCATGCCTCAAGAAGCCAGCACACGTTTACTTTGATTAATTCTCTTAGCCATTTCTTGCAAAGTTTATAATTTATATGATTACATGATGCAACAAATAATTTGTAAAACCTTTTCAGACTTGTTCATTCTTATAAGTTCTGAGTTTTTACTGAATAAGTGGGAAAGACAATTTATGCAATATTTGTGAATCAGACTCTAAAAAATACCTGCTTGCACATGTGAAATCTATACATAGTTTTGATCTTTACATCGATTGTCATCTGTCGTGTCATGAGATTCCATACTGATTTTTTAATAGTAATGCCTGATAGATCTTGGCTTATTAAGTAGATGTCATTTTGGATTGCCACTCTTGTGGAATGGCATGCATTGTTTTACATTTTGATTAGTTCAAATCCATAATAACCTTTCGATTTTGGCATCTTTGAGGTTGCATGGCCCTTTGTGCAATAGTATGATATCACTTGTTGATCTCGACCCTAGTATTTAGACGAGTTTAACATATACGAAGCAAAGTATAACACCTTTTAAACTTGATATAAATCAAATAATCACAAGTACGCAATATAATATAGACATATATAAGTTAAAATAGAAAGTCATATTAGAATATCAGTGATAAAAACAATCGAAGTTCAAAAAAAATTAAATTTGAAATAAAAAAAACCATATATTAGTGTAAATGTGCAAGTTTTACCCAGATAACAAGACTAAACCTGTAATTAAAGATTTGTCTAATAAGTTAGTTTTAGATGTTCAAAGCCAATTATATGCACAGATAGATCCTAAGTTATGATGGAATCATCCAACAAACTACTGATCAGATCAACTCGGGCAGTTACGCAGTTTTGTGGCTCGGTTAGTCAAGTTTTATTCAATAAACCGCAGGTTCTGAAATATTATCAAAGTATAAGGTAACACAATTTGGAGAATTAGTTTGAAACAAATTAATGTACAAGCTAAAATATCTTTCCAATTACACATAAAAAACCAACATTTTCTCTTTCCTCCTCTTGGCTTGTTGCACCAATACCACTGATTTATGCATAAATCTCTATAACAAGATCCAAAATTCTGATATGTTCTTCGAAAAGCATATGATTCAAGCAAATTGACTGAAAAAGATGAAGTGAACCTGGGGGTCGACACACTTCATCCATATATTTCTCTTTCATCTTTATCTTGTCCAAACAAACTACTCCAAAGCCAAAGAACCTGCATCAATCCACCATTTGCAACATGCAACAGGAAAACCTTTCCTCCTACTGGAAAATATAGTGATATAACATTAACGAAAATAAAGAAGCAATATATGCCCAAAAGTTGCCAAGTCCTTCCTTTCTCCTGTAAAAGAGAAAATCAAATTATCCAGAAATATATCGAAATATGCATATAATTACATAAAAAAAAGAGAAACTTCTTCGTATACCTTATCATGATGTGATAATTCTTGAAATACCTCGTTAAGGTAGTTGGTCGTCAAGCATCCAACAAAAAGACCAAAAGGAATTAGCAATTCTTTGTTTCTGGAAATAGAATATATAATATCAGAAGCAAAACTGAAGATTAAGATTGCAGTAAGTGACCATTTCAGTGCCTCTTTCCCCGAAACCAGTAATTGCTGCTGTGCCACATCCTTGGCTTCCTTCCAAGGGAACTGTTTAACTGAATCAGGAATGAACCCCAATAATTTGTCCTGGGTATAAGTGAAGTACATTTTATACTTAGGAGGCACATGAAACTGTTGCATCCTAGGTAGCTGTTTTACTGAAGAAGTTGCTGAAACTTGATAAGAGTGAACATGTATAAAGAAGGGCCTATGGAAATGACACAGTCGGCTATTGAATGATGTAACCTGTAAGACATAGCAAAGATCCGTGATATATAGATAACTATTTTACAATGTAATCTCAACGAATTGGTATTTACACGGCCTTAGTAATAATTATATGATAGGCCAATAACCCCAGAGTCTACAAAATGAATTTAACTGGACTTTAAAGGTAGTGAAAATAATTCTATATTAAGCAATTCAAGGAATATGCCAAGAGTCTTCAAGTACACTTAAAGTTACAGAGAATCTACATGTAATTAAGACTAAGTAATCATTGTCAGCAACATGAGGCTAACTTGGCACAGTTTGCAGCACCATGACGAATTATATTCTTGACTTGTCTTTACCCCAGAGGTGTTTTGGTGGGGTTGGGGAGTGGGTAAAGTGCACAAGTACCAGACCTTTTTGCTTGTTCTTGTAGTTGAAGAGTTTTCAATTTTGTTTTCTATCTTAAGAAAATAAATCTCACTGGCCAAAACTATTGCCCTGTCCATAAAATATGCAACATATTATATTGGATGAATATCGAGCATCTTAAAAAGAATATCAATTTCAAATCATGCCTTACACTAATGCACATGAATAGGGACAGAAAAATTCAAATAAGTATGTCAATGTGTTGTTAAAGATCTGAATTTATAGCAACCTGCTTCAAATCCAAGATGTCTTCTGGCAAATTCTACCACAAAAATCAACTCACTGTCAGAGGGCTACATTTTGCGACTATGTCTGAATTTTTCTTTGGTTTTAAGCAAATGGACAACAATAATTCTAAATGGGATGAGTTATAAAAAGGTTCTTGAGAGTGTCAATACTCTGCTGATAATCTCCTAATGGAATTAAGTACTTTTTTATTTTGGACTCTCTTGATTTTATTCCACATGCTTAAATCTATATTCTATCGAACATGGTTTAAATTTTGTTCCAAGTAGGAATATTTAAAAACAAATTTAAAATAAGTTAATCTTAATCCAGTTAAATTATCTTATTTGCCTTTGAGTACCCATAATTTTGATTCAACTAAAACTAATTATCCGAATCTACTAGATGTAGAAACCCTGACAGAAATTATGAGTAATTAACCACTAGTAGTTTAGCTGGAGGCCCTGCAACTATACAAATAACCTAATTCCAATAGGATTTCATAAATATTAGCAACTTCATTACCATTCATGAAAATTTCTCTCAATCACATGTTCATTCCATTACAGAAGTACAATATGATTGCACTCAGTAATAAGTATAAACTATATTCAATCCCATTAGTGGATCTTTCAAAACAATTAGTCCAACTATTTGGGAATATTATTCTCTCAAGATTAAAGCATACATAATATACTAACTTGGAGAAGACCAATCTGAGGATGATTTTTTTTGGAAAAGGTTTCTCACTAGGTCATGTAGAATGCATCTCATTTAATGGAACACGCTGCTATGTCAAATCTAAATCTAATTGTAGCGACCAAGTCACCCAATTGGGTGAATTCCATGTAAATTAACATAGTACAATCTCAATTGAATTACCTTAGTTCATCGTTGACTATGAACAATTCATCAAGTTACATGGAGCTTATAATTGCAATTTTCTATGCGTGACTCAATCTTGATACACCTAAATTAAATCTAGTTCAGAATTTAATTAAAATCTTACGAGAATACACACTATAAGAGCTTATTTCTAACATTTCAAATAACACTAGCATACTATAATCGCAGGCCTACACCAAAATGTTGTTTCCTTCATATTTGGTTGCACAAATTGACAACTCAAGGAGAATGAAGATTGTGCGGCAGCAGTCTTCATTCTATTTTTCTTCTCTTATTACATGCAAGGCATAATTAGAGACGCACATTTTATATTTTGCTGAAAACATATATGCAAAAGGAAAAATAAAAAAAAAATGAGACTACTAGTAATGTTAACCCATCTCAAACTAAGAAGAGGATGTAATCGGAGTATACAATGTGGTTGGTTCAAATATCAATACAGTGTCTAAGACAGAAAACTGCATATGAGGCATACCCAAGTGCACAAAGATAAGGCCAAGAACTATGATGTCGTGGCTTCAAATCCCCACCTACCTAAGTGCCACAAGCTAACGCATATTACTACAGTGTCATGTGTTCAAGCCTTACCAGAAATAAAGGTACATAGTCTAATGTTTTATTTGTTTTGGTAGAAACCTGGCTACTTAGACATAATCAGTAACTAGAGGAGTAGATAAGGCAGCTATAGGCTTGTATTGGGCAGCCAGAACGTGCATATTTATTTATAAATAGTGTCCAACTTTCTCCAATGGTAATCATTTTCTTCCCTCAGATATGGTTTTATGTAATACTATCACAGCCAAGCAAAATGTTTGGGTTCAAGTCATTCCAGCCAACCACTTATTAAAAATTTTGTATGTTACCTTCCAAGGAACAAATGAACTTGGTCTACACGTGGGGGTGTGCTAAACAACTAAAGACAAGATTTAAATGAATATGCAGTCCCTCTCTAACATCTTATCTAAAATGAAATGGTTAACAGGCAAAGTGAAAGCAGCAATTCCATAATGGTTCGAAGATATAGCTTGTCATTGCTTAGGAGCATTATGTGCACTCTTTTACTAAAATACCTAGTGCTAAAACGAAAAAGATAGATGTTTGCGCCTGAAATAGCATTATTACTCTCTCAAACATGCAGCAGTGTTGCTTGAAGAACTATCACACTTACAGTTGTACCAAGACTCTCTCTACCACTACCCTTTATCAAGCAGGTTTGCAAAAGTTCTGGTTCTCCCAACTTCTGGGGAATTGAATGGATTTCGGACTTCTGCAATTATATAATTTTTTTGGAAGCACAATCGCCGTGACCTGTGTATTTTAGTTGAATTTTGTGCTTTCGTTACACTTGTATGCAATTCAACCACACATTTTTCAATAAAATAATATTTTTCATCACACCAATAATTTTTTCTTCTTTTTCAACCACACATTTCCCTTCATATCACTATTCAAAAATCCATTCTTCCCCCAAAAATCCCTACCAAACACACTCTCAATCAATTTTGTTGGCCTTTGTCTAATTAATCTATTTATGCATTTTATTTTCAGTTTTTCACTTTAATCTAGCTAAGAAATTTCAATAACACATACAATATACAACTCTAAACCCCATACTATACATAAAGTACATTCTGTCGCGTGTGAGATTTAAATAAACAAATAGTTACAGAAGTGAAACAGAAGAGTTCAGGAGATGTAATAAAAAGGACATTACCGGAGAAACTGAAGTGGTAATTGCAGACGCCGGAAATGCCATTTGCTCCCGATCGTCACTGTACCTTATCCCACCGGAGAGATTCAATCACCGATCAAAATAGCTCTCTATATTTGTCAATTGGAACGTTTATACGAGCTTGTAATCTTTCTTTCGAGCTTGAAGGCATATGAGCATAAAATACTGTTCATCTTACTGGGTTGGGCCTCGTGGTTTATCCTTTCCTCGCATCTCTTTCTGCGTTCATGGCGTCAAAAAATGGGCAGGGCGTGCGCGGTTAGTTTTCGGCCACTTACGACGGGTCGTGGTGCCAAGTTAAATGTCTGTAGGGGCACTCTTAATTAGGGGGGCAAAACCCAACCGCACCCGTCCAAACCATCCAAATCGAACCAACTCGACCGGGTTGGGTCGATTTTTTTTTTGTTTTTACACGGGTTGAGTGGGTTGGCTGTGTATGCGGGTCGGGTCGGGTCGGGTTATTGTTTAACTCAAGAAAACCGAATAAACCCGCCCAACCCAACCCGTCACTTAAAAATAAAAATAAAAATAAAAGAAATAAAATACCTAAAAAAGTAAAAGAAACCTAAAAAGTATGAGTAAATAATGTAACTGTAATTACCTTGGTTTATTTTAGAGGAGGATTTTACTCTTCTTCCCACAAGAAATGTAGTAGAAGTTTTTCATGTTATTTTAAATGCACTTTGTTCTTTGTAGATTCGACTAATGAGAATTGAATAAGATAATATATAAATTTATTTATTTATTTATTTACTTATTATTTAATCGTGTCTATTCGAATTTATTTAGTATAATAGAAAATTGGATGACTTTAATTTTTGTTGACAAGTCGTCTCAAACCGACCACCCCAATCCAACCTGACCGATACTTGATTGGGTTGGGTTTAAAACTTTATACGGGTTGGGTTAAATTTTGATCAAACCGATCATGTTGGGTTGGGTTGGGTTGGGTTTGGGTTGAGACAAAAACCGACCCGACCCAACCCATGCCCACCCATACTTTTAATATTGATTTGGTCAAACCCCTAATTTTCCCTTTAAATTTTCAACAATTAGGCCATATTTGATTGTAAAAAAATTTATGGAAGTTGGAAAAAAATTTCCATTTTTCACCTTTACTCCTGTTTGATAGCAAAAAATTTTCTAAGAAAACGTTTTCCACCCCCACCCCTCACGCACCCATTTTCCTCATTTTCAAGGAATTGGTTTTCTTGTTGTTTTGGTGGTTTTATGTTTTCCA